TTTTTTTTTTTTTTTTTTTTTTTTTTTTTTTTTTACAGCTTTAGTGAGGTATAATTGATGTACCAAGAGCTGCACATATTTCAAGTGTACAATTTGATGAGTTTAGAATTGAGCAGGGCAACTTTTTTTTTTTGACTATATATTGATTTCAGAGAGAGGAAGGGAGTGGGGTGGGGAGAGAGAGAGAGAAACATCAATGATGAGAGTCATTGATCGGCTGCCTCCTGCATGCTCCCTACTGGGGATCGAGCCAACAATCCCAGCATGTGCCCTGACCAGGAATCGAACTGCAGTCTCCTGGATCGTAGGCCAATGCTCAACCTCTGAGCCTTACTGGTCTGGCTCCATTAATTTTGAGAGAAAGAGGAAGGGAGAGAGAGAGAAATAAAAACATCAATGTGAAAGAGACACATCGATTGGAGCTGGGGAACAAATCTGCAACCCAAGTACGTACCCTTGACTGGGAATCAAACCTGTGACTCTTCGGTGTGGAAGCTGACACTACCACTGAGCAACACTGGCCAGGGCTCTATTTTAATTTTTAAAAATTTTAAATTATTCTTAGTTCTATCTCTGGGATTTTATAGCCTATATTTTTTCCAATAAGAATCTAATGACAAGGAGTCCTAAAGGCCAATGAGGTAGTGTCCTCTCCTAAGAATGGTCCAGTCTCTGGGAGGCCTTGCTCTCCAACGCTGGAGCCAGAGCTGGGGATCTCTGCAGTGCCAGCTGTGGTGAGGAGAAGGTGGCACTGGCTGCCCAGAGGGAAAGGGCTCCTTGTTACTCAGGTCCATTCCCTTGAAAGGAAAACGGAACACTAGTTATTCACCACTTTACCAGGTAGATGCCCCTCAGGGCTGAGGTCTTCATAGGAATTTGGGTGATGACTCTGGGGATGGGTCCCCTATAAAGCACTGAGATGACAAACCTTGCTGGGTGGTTTCTTGCAGGCTGGGAATTCAGAGTTCTCTTTTCCCTTTCTTGGCCTTCCCCCACCTCCATCTGTCCCATTCAGTGATACCCCCTCTTCTATTCTGTAATCCCCCTTCTTTCTGGTATGTCAAACTGCCCTTAAACTGAGAGTATATAATTAGAATAGTGGGCATTTGAAGTGACTGGTATTCCTAGTCAACCAGGAACCCCGATGCTCTTTAATAAAAGCTTGGCTATTCCCATTCCAGGACATATTCAAAGCTTTTCCCACTGTCTTCAGTAGAATGCCTCCCCCTGGCCACCCTGTCAGAGGCCTGGAGAAATACAACTCACCCTACAAGGCCCGACTTAAATATCATCCCCTTTTAACCTCTCTGGGATGTTCTCTCAGTGCTCTCACCGCTTTGGGTTCAGGATGGTAACAGGGCATGAAACATATTGGGATCTGGTTCTTTTCCTCCTCCTTCACCTTGTCTGGGAGTTTCTAGATGGCCAGGATAGGGCTGTGCCCTTTTCTCCTATCCCAGTCCAAGTAGCTGGAGTTTCATTAAATATTTGGAGAGCCAAGTTTCAACATCACAACGTTTCTCTCTCTCTCTCATTACCCACATCCTAATTTTGCCATCTTGCCTTCTTCTTGAGTTTATAGTAACACCAACGCATCACAACTGTAACCCATCTTCATCAAGTGTTCTGATTGTCTACATTTGATGGGGAAGTATGCTCTCTATTCATCAAAATGCCCCTCTTCAATCTGACATGCCACCTGCCCTTCCCATCCCCGAGTCATGCCCCAGGCAGGGGTATCTCCTCACTGGGTGCCAGCAAGGCCCTCTCCATGGTTGCAGTGCCTGTATTCCTGCGAGCCCTAGATGGGCCTTAGCGCAGGACAGAGCCTGGTCTTTTGTCCCCAGGACTTAGTGGGGACACACTAGTTCCTTAGTGGGGTCCAGCACTCAGAGTCAGCTTCCTAGGCTGGACCAGAGCAGAACATGGAAACAGCAGGGTTATTCATGACATTTCAGGGAGAGGAAATGTTTAGAGCTGTGTGCGCTGTCAGCCATACTTTATAATGAGGACAATGGGACAAAGAGGTAGGTTTTCAAAGATTTTATTAAAAACAAAATAGAGCAATAATCCTAAAAACAGCAGAGGTGGATTTCTTCCTACCTCCCAATCTATCATTCCCCTTCACCAAGGCGCTACCTGGATGGTCCTGAGGCCCAAACCCTAACTCTCAGGTCCCCCTTACCCAACAAACTGCTTACTAAACTTTCATGCTTTCTTCCAGCTTCTGATATGTCTCCTTTAAGAAAATAAAAATACCCCCTCCCCAACTTGCTTAAAAATAATTTTCAAAGATTAAAAACGGCCTTTGTGTGTTTTTTAAAAAATAAACACTTTAAATGTTGGAAATCTCACTCTTGCTCTAGGCCTAGTTGAGCCTCTGGGGTGCTTGCCTGCCTCACCCCAGGAGGCCAGCTGCCACTTGGTGCCCCTTGGAAATTTTCAGGAAGTAATTTCTTCCAAATTTCCCCTGCAGTCACAAATTCCACACACTGCTCGCATAAACACGCTGTCTTCATTATAGGCACTGCTCTTCAGCTCTGGAAACCTGATCTCTTTTTGTCAACTAGACCACATGCTTCAGATTCCCTGCAAACAGGAGAGAAAACAAAATTCAAATTCAGGTAACATATGTCAGTTACACCTCGATAAAGCTGTTTTAAAAAAGCCCTTGTATGTTAGGACTTGCTCTCTTGCTGTTTTTGGGAACCCAGAGACTCCAACGTATGAACCAGCAAACCCAGGCTAGCTTGTTGGATGGCAGGAGACATGCTGCCCAGTTACTCCAGCAACCATCAGTCACCCATCAGACATGTGAGTGAGGCCTTTGACAGCCAACAGACTGCAGTGCTGGGTTTCCCCAGCACAAACCAGCAGAAGAACTGCCTAGCTGAGCCCAGCCCAATTGCCAATCTACAGTCATGAGCTAAACAAGTGATTTAAGATACACACACACACACACGCAACACTATTCAGAATTTACACTTCACTAACTGCATCAAATCTTTTCCCACTCCCAGTCTTTCTGCCCCACTTAGCAGGGAACAGCCCTCCTAGTATTTTCTCTTGTGGACATCTGTGAAATATGAATTTGGGGCTTTTCCCCTGCCCTCAGACCTCAGTTTTTGAGGGACAAGTGACCACTTAAAATCCTATAGGACTGGAAAGATTGCTCACTTGGTCCTTTTTTTCCTCTCCCAATCAAAGTGTTCTATTTTATTTAGGAAAACCTTTCTTTTTTAAAATTTATCTTTATTGTTGAAAGTATTACAGATGTCCTCTTTTTACCTCTGTTGACCTTTTCTTCCTTGCATCC